GTTCAGGGGTAGAATCACCTTCCTTGACCTGCTGCCTCATTTCTATTTGTGCAGCCCATGATACTTCTAGCTTCCTGGGGCTGCCAGTGTATTTTACCAAGACTGTTGACCTTCTCATCCACCAGCACCTTGAAGTTCTTCTCCTTAGGGCTGTTCTCAATCCATTCTTTGCCCAGCCTGTACTCGTGCTTTGGGTTGCCCCAATCTAGCTGCAGGACCTTGCACTTTGCCTGTTGAACTTCATGAGGTTCATACAGGCCCATGTCTCAAGCCTGTCCAGGTCCCTCTGGATGGCATCCCTGCTCTCCAAAGTGTTGACTGTACCACACAGCTTGGTGTCATTATCAAACCTCCTGAGGGTACACTCGATCCTACTGTACATGTCACTGACAAAGAAGTTAAACAACACTGGTCCCAATAATTTATTTACACTCCAGAAGCAATATTGTATAGTTCATAAATGGTAGCTAGGAAGACGTCTCCCTGTGGTGGGTGAAAAAAATAAAGTGAAAACCACCTCACAGATCAGCACCTATCTCTAGTAAGGTATTTGTATCAAAAGTGGATAAATTGTCTTCCTTTATAGCAACCAATAATAATTATTCACACATAGCATACTGTTTGGATTACTAGGATACTGAGCTACTTTATGTACTTTGGAATGAACAGATCTGTGCTTAAAAATATTTGTGCTTCTTACCACTGATTACAGAGAGTTGCTATATACATAGCTCAGACATAGATAGCTGTATCACTACGATGTAAATTTGTTGAGGTGTGACCCATTCCATTGAGTTAATCGTGATATATCATGTTGTTTCACCCCAGCAAAAACAAAGAGTGGAAATATTTTCTAAAGAGGGGTTTTGACTGATTTTTTTCAGTAAACTTGACTTACAGAGCCACTGGTCCACAGTTTAAGCTTGGTGTCCCTGTGCTCAGTGATTATGTGTTAATACACTGCTGCCCATGAGTGAGTAGATATTACAGACTTTTCTGCCCTGAGCCCGAAGTTCCTTCCTAGGTGCTCTGTTCTCTCTTGCATTGTTGTCATACTTTGCTGTCTGTTATGAAAGGGATTTGTTGTAAAGGTCCATATTTATCACACAGGTGAACAGAGAGTGTTTGGTATGTGTATGGAATCAGAAGATGAATGGAAAAGACATTCATCTGTGGTTACGCACACTTCAGTGTAGAAGAGAGGAAACACTTACCTGTCCCTCCCTGCAGCAAGCGTATCTTGGACAAAAACATTATCATGGATTCAGCAGAGAATAGGCCTCATGACAGCATCTACTATCAGCCCAAGCACTAGTAACAAGAAGTTATTCAGTGTCTTTGATACCAAGCTTACAAAATTAGTAGCACTAGTTTTTCTTGTGCTGTCTCTTCCCTCACTGCAGTGAACAAATGGAAGTTAAATCTGACCATTACTGGAGCAAAGGTGTTTCCATGAATCAGCCAAACAGTAGTTAGTATTATGACCTGTTTGTGGAGGTATTATAGAATTGCAGAATCATAGAATACGCTGAGCTGGAAGGGACCCATCAGGATCATTGAATACAAATCCTGTCCCCGCACAGGACACCCCAAGAATCACACCATGTGCCCGCGAGCATTGTCCAAATGCTTCTTGAACTGAGACAGGCTTGGTGCTGTGACTACTACCCTGTTCCAGTGCTCACTCACCCTCTGTGTGAAAAAACTTTTCCTGATATCCAGCATAAATCTCCCCTGACTCAGTTTCATGCCTTTTCATCAAGTCCCCTCACTGGTCAGGAGAGTGAAGAGAATGGAGAATATTCTAACACATTTCATCATATGCTGTTATCATCCATATAGCAAAAAGAGAATTTTCAGTAATTGAATTCAAATTTCAAACTCAAATACATAGTTATGCATCTGTCAGCTGCCTCACTCCAGGATTTTATAGACCACAGAAATTTTATAATAAGTGAAGAACTGCTAATTGTGGTCAGAGATACCTGTAATTATATAAAAGAAAAACTTGGATTTTCAGAAATGCAAGATAGTGCTCTGCAGAAGCTAAAAGAATTTGTTCAGCAGCCTTGAGGATCTTGTCATTTTGATTTCAGTAAATCACAGAGTTATCAGAACTTTAATATCCCACCATCTTTGGACTATAAATTTATGATGGCAAAAGCGGCAAAAGTGACTACTGTTTCTGTTCTACTGACATTAATGGATAGTATAAGGAAGATTAACAAATTAAATAAAGCATTTCAGAGTGAGAGTCCACGGATTTCACAAATCTCAGTGATTTCCACTTTTAAAACATATTTTGGTGCTTTTGACACTTGATCTTCCACTCCTGATTTAGTGCCCATTTCTGTCAGTACCAGCAGGGAATCTACTTGAATCACTGAATAACTCCCTATCGTAATTCCATGTATAATCTGAATTTGAAAAAAGTTGTTCAGATAATCAGGATTTTCAGTAACAGAGATATTGTCTAAATAGAGATTTTTCAAAGGATTTTTTTTTATTATAAGGTTTTTATAAAGTGTAAGCATGTACTTAAGTATTAGAGAATTCAGTCTAAATTCAGCATAGATGATGCAATACAGCTACTAAAGAGTCGAGTGTAACAGCATATTCTGTGCAACACCTATTCCAGAGAACTTTGGACAATAGTGCGTGAGTCACCATGGAAGATTATTAACTTGAGTGTTTTGAATTATAGCAACTTTGTAGAGGTTACCTACTAATTCTTGAACTGTACATCATTACTAAGGTGAAATGTGAAAAAGTAGTGATTCAGGATGGAGGAAAAAAAGCCACAGAATAAAAACAGCAGGAAGCCATAATAAACAAGAACATGGTATATGAGGAAAATTAAATAATTTCTACACTAGGTTAAAAGCATTCCTAGGCTGAAAATAAATAGGAAAGTTATTGGAGACAGGATTGGGATGAATGCAAACAATTTGTCTAAGCAATAGTTTCCTAGAGAAAAGGGGGGAAATCAGTCATCAGAGAAGTTAAGGGGTTTATTGACATTAATGGTAATGCTTGGAGCAAGTCTCAACAGATAAGGTCCAAGGAAAGAGCAACTGGATTGCTCAAGATAGCAAGTAAACTTTTAAAGAGACAAGACTTTTTCAACAATATACAAAGTCTAGAGAGAAAAGAAAGGACACACGGGAAGAATGGTAATGAAGGTGATTCATGAAATCCAAGGAGAAAGAGGGAAACACAAAAAAAAAATGAGGGCAAACTATGTGTTAAATGAATAAATGGTGAGGAAAATAAAGCGATGATTCCCAGCATGTTTGGAAAAGCTGAAACTTTTACCCAGGGTAACATCTCTAAGGAGATTTCAGGTCATCCTTATAGACATGGAAAGACGATAAATGCTATCATTTTCCAAAGCAGTTATCATAATTCTAGATTGAATATTTTTTTTAAAAAATCAGGAATGCTGTGGTACATAAATATGAGAATGCATTTAGAACATTTGGGAGAAAGGTCTCTTGCTTTACTTGAAACAAGATAAATCCACTGGTCTCTGTTTTTTAGATCCAGTCAGGCAAATCTGAGCAATTGGCATGTGAATTAAACAGAGACAAACTCTTTGTGGTTAATGGAGAAAAGAGTGGCAGGAAGGTTATTAGAGTAGACATTAGTGTCTAAACCTGAAAATTACAAGGAAAAGTAAAAGAAAAAAAATTGGTACTAGAGAATAGGACTGAAAAGTTATATTCCAAATAGAAATGAATAAACCCTATTTAGATATTCTGGGTTTTGTATGAAATTTAAAGACATTCTCTAAGGCAGGCAAACACTGTAACCCAAAATGTTAAGGTCTGAAGGTACTGTTCACAAAACTGTAAAGTATACTGTCATTTGCTTGGGTGTCTTAAGCCAGACAGCTAAGGCAGAAGACCTGAAGGATGCATGCCAAAGTAAGTAACGAGCAGGTAACCTTGGATATCAGGATGTTACGGCAATAGGAATGGGTGCTCTTCATTCACATGACAGGGCGAATGGCTGAAACTTGTTTAAGTCCACACGGCTCTTTATATCTCACTGAGAGAAGATTATCATGATAATAGAATTCTTTCTTATCCAGAAATAACTTGAACTTTTCTAAAGTTCAGAAATTCTTGCTCAAACCATATGTCCAAACACAAAAATCATCCATAATAATTAAGGCATGCCCTTTAATTCAGAAAGTATGTGAAATATAATTAATGTATGGCAAGATTAATCTTGTGATATATCCTATCTCATCTGTCAGTTAAAGGCCTTTTATTGACAGATGGTGTAGATGATGCCTGATACATGAGTTAAATGTGTGCAGTGAGTTTTACAAGCATCTGTGTAGTCTCAGTCAAAGCAATGAGATCATTTCTCTCTATTTCTATGGCATTAATCCACAGTGCACATATCAGAAACCTAGCATAGAAAAACAAGTTCTGGGAGACCACCAATCAGAAAAGGTAGGACTTAATGAAGAAAGGAGTTTCTTGTGCCTTATAAAATGATTTGCCTGTAGAAGAGATACCTTTCTCATTGAATAATCAGAACAGGACATTTATGCACCAGTGGATTTCACCCGTGTAGAAAAATCTTGTCTATCAAATGATTTGTTTTGAACTCAGTTATTCCAAAGGGCACTGTGGTAAAAATTTTGTTCTTAAATTTGTGGTGCTATCTGGAAAAAAAATAGCAGCAAAATTTTGTTCAGTTCTGCCCACAGAGATTTTCTGGATTGATCATTTTTTTTTCTTACCTTCACATTTCTTGAAAAATATGTGAAGGATTTTGTATCACCATAGTCTTCCCTTATCTCTATGATCTACACAACAGACATTAATTCCAGTACTTTAAATGTACCCTAACCATATTAAAATGTAATCTAAAGTGGCTTGTTTTTAATGAATGCTTTCTAGCTCTGGTAATTATTCTCATCATCCCTCCAGTGAGAAGGGCTTAGTTTGTTTCCAGAGCTAACAAGTCTGTCTTTACCTTCAGAGCTGCCTTCAAGTACGTGAAGAACTCTACATTAAATCTGGGCACCTGCCTGCTGAGAGAAAGCAATTTTACAGGTAAGATGAGGAGTCCTAAAACTCTATTCCCCAGTAAGGAATTTGTAGTGTCTGCCTAAGCAGACTGTTTCAGCAGTGTTTGCTTCATCGAAATCTCAGTTCAGTGAAAAGGCTGTTGCTTTCGGTCATGAAAATAGGTAGTGTCATTTTCTCTTTGCAATGAATTCTTTCATCCAATCATATTCCTGTATGCAAATATACCATAGCTGGTTCAGATAAAAAAGCACAAATAAAGCTAGGGGCTCAGTCAGGACAAAAACCACTGCACTTCCTTTATACCTCGTTTCACCTGTGTTTCAGGAACATCCTCAAACTTCTCAACTGAAAACATGAAGAAGCAAGGTTCAGACAGCAATTCTACTACAGTTATGCCAGCTGTGCCAGAACCAATCAAAGATCTGAAAATTAAGTACACCAAGGTTAGTAGCATTTGCATTTCTTAATCTTTCTTATGCATTCAACTTAGACAGTAGGATGTGCTCAGTTTAACCTTATATACTATGGAAGCCACTGTAAATCAGTGCTTAAATGTTTGTTCTGACCAAATTCTGATTTTACACATATTAGCAATTGATGTTCAGTGATCCTATTAACCTAAGTTAAAGCACCTAATTGTGTAAGAATGATACAATCTTTCTATATTTAATTTAGGGTGAGTGTTGTTTTTCTCCTGAAACAAACTTTCAGCAGTGGTAAGTTTCTCAGAAAGTATAAATGAAGCAAAGAAGGAAAGGTTTCTACTATTATATTATTTTTCAGAAAAGTGAGAGCGAACTAAAATGTCAGCATACTGCATCATGTTATGATCAGATTTAAATAATTATACCTAATAAGAATATGTGGAAAGGGATATGTGAAAATGAAACTAAAATAAAAATAATTCTGCTCACATGTTAACCTTAGAGATAATGAATCTGTTTTTCAGCTTAAACAAGTACCTATTAATAAAGTCTACCAACACTAACTACTCAATATTACCATAAACTTTTTGAAATAAAAAAATCTTCTCCATATACATTTAGAAATATACAGATAAAGAAGGTTTGTATCCAGACTTGTGCTTCCAACTTGAAAAGACTCTTTTCCTGTTTTATACCATAATATTTTATCATAAAACACAGATATCTCCTAGAATTTTCAAAAAAAGTGTTGGCAGAGAATATCGAAACTCTACTCTCTGAAACATTCAGGTAGAACAATTGATCACAAAGGACCTCTTATCTTTGGAGACTCCTTTATCACTGTTCTTTTTTCTCGATACTGTTGCAAGGGAAATAATTTTTTTTTCTAGAGCCACTGCTTATTTTCTTTTCCAAAAGCAAGGTATTCAGCAATCATCTAAATTAGTCCTTTTGAATTACATTCTATCCTATTTTTTTAAAGGCAAAAATCGAGCAGATTTCAATGCATATCTTTCTTGAATAAATCACACAGGATCCTACTTTGTAAATATTTAACAGACTAGGAAAGCTATGTAGTTCTGCCATGCCATGTGATAGCCCGCTACTGCTCTTCCTGTCTCAAAAAAAAAAAAGTGTTTTGCTATTTGATTTTTTAGTTTTCCGGAGGAAGTCAACTAATATGAGCAAAACACTGCCTGATGTAACTGAATATTCAAGATATGAATTCCTGTAAAGATTTTCATCCTTCTAAAATATTTCACTAGTAAAAATCTATTCTGTTAATATAAAAAGCAACCACAAGACAGCCAGCCAAGACAATTGAAAAGTCTGTAGTTTGTAGTGTGCAATCAACAAGAGTGTCACATTCCAAATATTTCTTTTGCCTTTGCAATAAAGTTGTATATATAATTTGTACGTGTGCAGAAATGCAATGCACTGGTTTGCAAAATCCAACACACCCTTGTGGAGGTTTGATCTTTGCAATGCTTTCCTTCTGTCTTTAAACACCATATAGGATGATCTGAAAGCCACAGCAGTCTACTGAGAGACAGAGATTTGGGATATTAGAAATGCTGGCCCATATCCAGCACTCATCTCACAATTTAATAAAGCTTTTCCACTCTTGCCTTCTCACCCATCCTGTTCCTCTCCTGTTAGAGAAGTTAGAACATAGGGGGTGGGTGACTGCTTACAATGGAAAGAATGAGACAAGGGAATCACTAATTACTGCTGATGTATTACCCTTTCTGTCTGAAGCACGTAGGATCAGATCCTTCATTTCTGTACACTCTAATTTTTCTTTTCCTACCATTACGTAGTATCAACAGCCATTGCATGAGAATCTGAAGAGAAGTCTTCAGAAGATGTTCAAGGACTTTCCTCTTTACTTAACACTGTTTTATTTTCTATGAGAGAGATCATTTGAGGCCTTTCACAGAATTCATTTAACTAAGTATTTCCATATGAATCTGGATTTATAGGTAGGTATAGCTACATTTCAGATTAATCCTTTTTCATGTGTAACATGTATACTAGTATAACACTTAACACTCCAGGGAATTTCACTTTCAATCATCAAATGGAAGTATTTTAAACACTAAAATTGGCTTGGATTTTGAACCAAAAAGTGATCTTGAATTGGTTTCATATCTGAATCTCCTTTAAAGATATGCCCGTGAACTGAATAAGTTTTGGTAGCTAGCTAAAACTATACTAGTAAATATTTTACTTAGTTAACACTGCAGAATTAGACAATAGTCGTGTGACAAATACTTTCTGTCATGATGCTTTCACATATTCTAAGCCCTGTGGTACTCCTTTAATCAGAGAAACTCAGATTAGTTAATTATTAGGTTGTCAAATTACATGAGGGGTAGAAAATGGCTGAACATTCTCTCACTAATCTGCATGTGGAATATCAGAAAGCCACTCTGAATAAAGAAAATCATAGCTGAGCATCAATGTGTTGCATCACTAGCTTCAAAACAAAGATGAGGCAGAAAAGCACAAAAATATAATTGGAATATCTGGGGAAAGGTAATCAGCTAGAAAGGTACTATAGAAACTCACTCTTTTTCAGATCAGCTTGCTTTGTAGACATAAAGTCCCTTACTGACAAATAAGAAAAATTTACATAAGTATTGAATAGAAAGACTGTGTTCTCTGATTATTAGCTCATTGCAGTAGTAATAGGTAATTCTTATATCAATAATAGCATACAATTTCAAGGTAGGGGAAAAAAGTTACATGAAATATTAGCCAAACATAAGATTCTTGTAAGGAAAAACCTGCAGTGGGAAAAAATAAGATTTCACAGCAGATATTCTATACTGACATATTTGCTTAAAGCTAAAACTTCATTCTTTAGTAGTTCCTTAAATAATATTGCATATTTTATTTTTATTGCTTAAAGCATACGAGACTCCATGATGTATTTTGAGACTGGTACGTTAGAACTTACAGCACTTGAAATGTGCCTCCTCTTGGGCTGCAAATCTTTAAGGTCTAGATGTATCTCTAAAATTTACTGCCAAGTAAATGTTAGCGTATTACAGTACTCAAGAATCTGAATGACTGCCATAACCTCTAAGAGCAGGTGTACATGATTCAGCACTGTGCATCATCTCACCTGAGTGGTGCTGAACTGCCTTCAGCATGCCTCCAAACTCAGCCCTGATGTCTCTTCACTGTTCCTGGCCTGTAAAAAAATGCTGTTGGTGTAATTCCCTGGTTTATAGTCTGCACTAGAAAGCTTGTGAGCAGTCAGTTGAGCAGCTGTTCAAATCTGTTGGTCCCTTTTATCTTCGTGAAACAGTCAATGGGGCTCATTTGAAAAGTATTGAGAAGAAAAACTATTACAGCAAGGGGCAGATTTATGGGCAGAAGAGGTTTTGCTTTTTCTTGTACGATAAGTTTGATATCTAAATAGAAGATAGCTTAGACATTTAATTTCATGTTTACAAAGTTATCCTTAATAGCTAAGTTAGGAATAGTCCACATTTTAATTGGTTCTATTTCATTTCTTGACTACACTTCTGTATTATTTTTAACAATAATAGTGAATTACATTAAAATTCTTCCCTAGAAAAGAATAAGTTTATAGACAGATGCTGATACGGGATCTTTGCTACAGCAGAAATTAAGTACTTTCTTCTTTAAGCTGCACTTTTAAGTCATTTTGCAGAAGCACTGAAGCCTGAATCCCTGTACAGACTTTGTACAATACTGAAACAAGAAAAAGGGGATTCTTATTCTAAGGAAGATTCAGCAAAAAGTTATGTTTCATAAAGTGATGACACCTAATGCAAGGGCCCTAAAATTTATTTCAGCAGAGCTGTGGTGTGGTCCATCTGAAACAAAGCTGTACAGAGTGAGCATGAGCTTCCCTCATGCAGCACAGACACAATTAAGGCACTTCCCATCTAGCAGATACTTTTGTATTATGAACTCACAGTCCTTTCAAAATACTCCAGGACTGAACGAAACGAAACCACTGAGATGACAGAAAAAAATATAAAGTTCAGGTCTTGTCTCCCCATTCTCTGCTCAGGTCATTTGAATGATGAAATCAATTGTGTAAAAAGGATAGAAATACTGTAGTCTTGCAGGGAACTTCAACCCCAAATGGTGAATGGTGTTAGATCATTTGAGCTGAAACCAATCGTTTCAGAGAAAATAGATTTTACAGCACTCTGTCATTGTGAAATAAAGACAGTCAGAGGGGTTTGACTGCCTGTTGACGGGCTCTATTTGAAACTCTAAGTGTACAGTCTCATTTACAGGAAATGTGTATTTCCAATTCTACTGCAAAGAAACCTGAAAGTCATTAATACTTTGAGTAGTTGAAATAAAAATACATCTTCTCTCCTAAAATTCCAGTGAAGTAACACTTACAAAATACCTGCAACGACGTTTCTAAATCCTTGCAAAACAAAATTGTACTCCTAAACCTCATGGGCCATAGTCAGTCATCACAGACAAAGCCCTGCACAGCGCTTGCCACAGAAGGGTTGCATTTATGTTACTCTAGATGTCAGTGGAGTTCTGATTGACAGACAAAACACTGTAAACTATTGCAAGATGATCCCAAACATAATTTTTCTCAGTCAAGGTTGTTGTTAGAGGCTGCTGTCTGCAGGTACTTTGATGTTGCCTTGATTTAGAGATCCATATCCTTTTGGTTTGTAGCAAATACTCCACAGCATTTAATGAGCATGGCTGAATGCACATTTACATGTACAACTGCCTGCAATGTATTAATACACCTTACTTGTAGAGTTTTGACTTTTTCCTTCTCTTTTCTTTCATACCTGCATTTCCAAGGCTGCTATCTAGCTTATGAAAGACATCTGGATAGTTTGATTTATACAGCCCTGTTACAATGTTGTATATATATTTAATATAGCGAAGTTATGTTTTAAACAGAAACAGTATTAGAAACATCAATAAGAGATATATTCTAAACTAATACTACGGGCAATATTGGTTGGTGCAATAAATGTAGTATTTAAACAAACACTTAAAAAATTTCCAAAAATGGTATGTTTTGCTATTATTCCTTTCATGGACAGATATGAATTTAGCATACTGTAACATCATAGCAGTGTTATGTTAATATTTACCTTTTACTTTGTCTCTTTTCTTGGCAATATGTCTAGATGGGGGGGAGAGGGGGCTGTTGCACATTTAACCATTTAACTGCTGTCTTTCTCCTTTCACCACAGTCAGAATTTCGTGTGGATAATCTTATAACCAGCTTCATCACTTGTCTGAAATCTCCAGGGACTTTCCAGGGATTGATAGCTTTTGTTAAATCGGGAGTCTGCTGGTCAGTCCTGATGGTCAGACATTACAATGACAGCCTGTATAAGGTGCCCACATAGAGCCAATCTGAAACATACAGGAATATATTAAATTAAATATATTAAATGGCAAATTGTTGCCATATTCATTTATTCAAATACAGTATTTTATTGATCTTGATCATTATTCACAAAATATTCCCTAATTATTGACTACCACTCAGTCAGAGTAGGCAATTTGAACACTATGCAAAAAAATCTATTTCCTGAAATCAGACACATTTTCATAACATATGTGGTTGTAGTGGAAGGGTTTAGTCCCCAGGTCTGTGTGACAGGAAGTATTTATCCTGTAGTTCTGGTGTCTTGACTTTGTCTACCCCAAAGTATTTTCTGGTTTTCTATTTCAATTTTCCTGCTACTCTAAGCAGCACTGCTAGGTCCTTTATCCTAATGGAGAGGAAACAGGAATAATATATTTTCTGCTAGCTGGTGTCAATGGCTAAGCTCCAGTGACTAAAGGTGAGGCAAGACACCTTAACCATAAAGAGAGGCACAGTTTGAGCTCAAAATACTTGGTACTGTCAGTCAGAGTCTGACAGGGTCTCAATGATGAGTATGCGCAAGACCTTACATGCATGCCAGCAACACAAGGGCGTTGGGAGAGAGTGAGAAGGGAGAGCACCAGCCCACCAGCACCAGGAAGGTGGGCTCAAGCATTGGGAAGGCATCTCGGTGTGGAGACCCCACTTTATCACTGACCCAGACATCACAGAGATGGTCAGGCAGAGAAGGACAGGTACTGTTAACATCAGACTGCATACCTTATCATGTTCACTTCAAAGAGCAACCTACATAACAGTTCTTACCAACATAGTCTCCTCTTTTCAACAGCTGTGCATTTATCAGGTCTTCCCAAAAAGCCTTTCCTTTCTTAGCCTGTTTTGAGGCTAACCTACAGTAAGAAAATTTAACCCCCTCCAACAATTTACCAACAGTGCCTCACACATGGCAGGCTCTAGAGTTGTACAGATCTCGTGCATCCACATGTAAGACCTAGGTTCTATTTTGCATTTGTGAGCAGAGATAAGTACCTTGGATTTCACCCAGAGATCCTTACACATGTCCTAAGCACCCACAACCATCTGGATGCAATTCTGTGGAGTGTGCTCTAGGACAATCCTGCCTGACCTGAGATGTTGGACCATATGGTTCCACTGTGGTTCCTTCCAGCCTTATTCATTCTGTGATTCTGTGATTCATTCAATTGACTATGGAGAGGGTTTTTCAGTCTCAACTTGAATTTCAGAAAACTATGCTGTTGGTTTTGCTTATTTGGGGCTTTTGATTTGGTTTGGTTTAGTCTTGGTTGGGATTTTATTTTCTTTGGCACGAGAGAGTGAAGAAAAATCAAAGTAAACCTAAATACAACAGTGCTCTCCAAGATACTTCTAATTTAAGGTATTATACTCACTAAACCCAAGGATTGGGTCTACTTCTGTCAGGCTGTGTAACAAGAAGGCCCTCCATCCTTACCAACCCTGTGAGCACAGGAAACCCAGGTAGTTCTAGGTAGGTCGTTTAGGGAGGTACCTCCCTCACACATCACAGATTTCAGTTTGAGAAGGGAAGGATCCCTTTGTAACAGCATATTTTTATGATATGAAACAAAGTAAAAATATAATGTAGAGAAAGTTTGCCTCATCAAAAGAAGGCAATTTTAAAAGGCTGATCCCTGTTATGCTAACGTGATTACTTATCTCTTCAGAATAATTTAGAAACGTCTATTCCAATTTTAATTCAGGTATCTATCAATCAGGTAGCTCTCAAGTATGAAAGATAGGTTTATTCACCAAAGCAGATGACAAGCAGTTATATATGTGTTACTAATATTGTTGCACTCTTTCTTCCCCTGCAGATATTTATAAACAATGAGTGGCATGATTCGATCAGTGGTAAAAAATTTGCAGTCTTTAACCCTGCAAATGAAGAGAAAATCTGTGAGGTTGAAGAAGGTGACAAGGTAGAGTTTTCTTTCTTGCTCTTAATTCTAACTTTAAGTTTACTTCTTCATCTTAAAAGCAGTAAGGCAAGCAGCCATCTCTGTGATGTAACCACCTTAGGCATGTACCTACTTCATTCTGTACACTTCTTCTGCAAAATAATTCTTATCTTTATTTTTTTTTTATTAAGCCACAGTATTTTTTGTAAAGAGACAGTGAAAAACTGATTTACTTTAGGATCTCGCTCATATAAGAAAAGTTCTAAAGAAATATTTTTTGCTGGGTTTTTCTTACTAATATTATAAATTCTTTTTCTTATCTGTGATCAGTGACAGCTAAAAACGAAATTGGGAGGTTTTGTTATTTTTTCATGCTCTTTCTTAGTCAGTAATGTAACCTGTTCATTACACACTTATATAAAACTTTTTATTATAGATAATATGAAGAGGGCAAATATTTATAATTTCCCACACAGACACTGTGAAGATTATTATTACCATCAGCGTTTTTATGAATATGTCTTCTCAGTATTGCCCCTTCAAATATTTTATTTGGAAAAATATATGGGAACGTGGTCCTAAAAAACACTGAAGTTGAATGTGGCCTATGAAGTAGTCACTAATTCTACCAAAAATGATCTACTTAAAACATGTTGAATCAATGAATTTAAACAGAGGACTAAAAAACTTGTTGAAAACTGCCTACAAACATTTTTTGTATGTATTTATGAGATTCCCTAGTGGAAAATTACAGATAGATGCCATGTAATCAAAAATATATTGAAAACCTAAGTGCTAAGATCTGTATTTTGTTATATTATGTGCTTTTCTCATGAAAAGGATTTAACTAGTGCTACTATATAGTTATATGTAAGTTATCAAGTTGGGGGAAGGGTAGTTATTTAAATAGGACAGGCAATGTTGCTGAACAGTTTTAAAAGTGATGACCAATTTTTTCTATAAACTCTGAGGAAGCAAGTATGAGAAGTGAAAATGAAATTGTTTTTATAATTACTGATTTGGTTTATTTAATTTTATTTATTTATTTATTTATTTATTCATTTATTTATTTATTTCATTTTTTACACTTTTCCCCTCAAGCTCAGTTTTTTATATCCAAAAATGAGGAAATTTTTTCACATTTCTCACAAAATGATGTTATTTAAGTAAAGAAATATGCATACCTAGAATATTTTGTATACAAGCATTTTTTTAAGCTTAGCAGTAAAATATTCATTAAACACCTTTCTATCCAGGAGATACTGTAACATTTATAAGCTGCTTATGCATGTTATAAGCTCATCAAAAATTTATTACCAATATAGTAAGCATGGGCTCTTTCAGAATACTTTAATTTACTGCACAAAGATTCAGTCTGAAATGAAATTCTCTTTTGAGAAATACATTCAGAATCATTCATTAAATCAATTCATTAAATCTTAGTTACTCTGGTCCATAATTTCACCATGAATCTCCTAATAAACTTTGTCTCTAAGGCTGTCTAGCACATGAGCAATAGTGACCACAAACTTCTAAGAAGGTCATAATGAAGACACATTTTAAATTTTTTTTAGAAAAACATGAGAAAGTATGTTTTTAATTATTTCATATATCTAACCAGGAGTTTTTTTCAAAGGCTTTGCTTTTGTTTAGTCCCATTTACCTATATCTAGTGCTGAAACAGTGATATTTGATCATCCTCAAATTAAATTACTCATGACTTGCATCTGTTCAGTTACCACACAAAATTTCTTTCTTTCTTTCCTTACCAGCACTCCAGCAACTCATTAAATAAAGAGATAATACTATTCGACAATCAGGTTTTCTTTCTCTTCAATAATTTTGCAAACTAATGTGTAATGACAACTGCTATTAACTAAATTGCCAAGTGAATTGTACAAATCTAGTAAATTACACAACCATTATGAACCTAATATGTTAGAGCCTAGACTGCAAATAATGAGTCAAAAGATTTTAGGCATTTAATTTGTGCATAAAACAGGGTTGACAAAAGACTGTCCCATTCCTTGTAGTAGTATTTTTCAAGAAACAAGAGGAGATTAAAAAGCACAGACATATATATGTGGGTGAGAACTGTTCCCTTTCAGTTTGATTGTTCTTTCAAGCTACATTCCTAATCCTAGAGGCCCCTAGTAATAATAAAACAGTTCAACAAATGGTCAGTGTACGTAAAGTAAATGTACATAAACTAAATGTAAAAAAGTCTAAACTGGCCCAGAAAAGAGTCTTTATACTCATAAGTGTAGATTTATGTACCCGAAATAAATTTCATACTGATGAAGAACAATAATTTTTTTATTACTTTTCATTCATGGCCCTTTAAAACCTTTATCTTATTTCTCTTGGTTTTAATTATTTCTGCACTTCTAGTAGAAAGAACACATGGTACTGTAGTTTTAATTTACATCATTTGTACTAGTATGACTTTTGTCTCCCCCTTGTCCTTTTCCAGTAAAGGCTAAGCCATAACCCCTCAAGTCATATTGCAAAGCTATAGAATATTTATGACAGGGTTCACAGATAGTGACGATGTATTTGACAACATTCTGAAGATTCTGAAGAAAAGCAATTCTTCTTAAACTGGTAGATTTCAGCTACCTGATGTAGGTGACTGGTCAGTATGATCCTATAGTAATGGCTATGCTATTTGTATAGTTCCTTACTACCTTTTCCTGAATTTCCTGGAAAAAAAATTGGGAAGTTCTGTGGGCCTCCTGCTTAACGGGTCTGTGTTGAGCTTTCTAAGCCACTAACCCACCTCACTCACAGCTTTTAAAAATGTGTTCCTGGCTATCAACATCAGTTAAAGATTTAAGATCTGGTTCATGTTTAAAACTAATGATTTTGGTGTTAACTCAGTTGACTTTGCTGACTTAGTCAACCTTGATAGTGCTTTCCCTGGAGAAGAAAGCACTGATTAGCAAACAGCAGCACAAAAAAGTTTGAAAGAAATCCTTCAAACATTGCACACAAATTTCTCAGGGAAATGTGACACAAACAGAAACTTCTTTTTTTTTTCATTTCTAACAAAAAAAATCTAGAATAAATCTGCTTTTTATGTAATTGTTTTCCTGGGTAAAGTTTTACAAGAATTATGAAATATAGGAGAATTCCAAGTACTAAAAGCTTCTCACAAGAGATTTTTAATTTTGGGGGGTTTTTTGAATGCTGGAACACCATTTGCACAGAATAGTTACATATAATTCATCATAGATTTTCCTTCTACAGTGAAAGCCAAATGATAAATAACAAAATATGCTATAAAAATGGACTATTAATGGACTGACAAACTAGCTGACATATTCAAAGACAATGTTTAGATTTCAAAATATTTAAGCTTAGCATTTTAAACTGGGTGCTTTTTTTAATTTTCAAAATAATTTTAAACATAGATTTTTCTTAAATCTTCACAAAATAAATTTATTAATTTGTCTTCCTCAATAATAAATTTGTGTTCATTTTATGAAACATCCTAAAGCACAGATTTTTCTAACCTGGTCTTCACTACATCACAAAATAGTTTTAGATGATAAATAATTAAACATTTAACTTGCAGATTTGGGCATCTCTTTGTAAATAAAAGAGAATAAATTGTATCATCAGTGTAATTTTTTGTTGTATGAAGAGGGCTTGAAAAAAATAAACTTTAAAAATAGAGTTCCTCAATATGCTTTTATTTTAGAAGCTTTGAGAACCGACCACCTGTTTCTCATACAATTTCACATTGCTGAGATAGCAACAGAAGTGTTTGAAAAAAAAAATAACCCATGCATTTAAAATTACTGTACCAATTTTGATTAGATTGGTCTTGGTTTCTCTTATTTAAAATTTAAGTTACATTTCAAGTTAAACTTCACATAAGTAACAACCAAAAAGACTGATGACAGAATTAATTACTGATTTAAAAAGTTTCTCTTTTTTCCCCACAGGAGGATGTAGACGAGGCAGTTAAAGCAGCTAGAAAGGCTTTTGAGCTTGGGTCACCCTGGCGCACAATGGATGCTTCGGAGCGAGGAAGGCTCTTGAATAAACTGGCTGACTTAGTTGAAAGAGATCGGCTGATTTTAGCTGTGAGTATGATATGTGAGCAAAAAAAATGGGACAAAAGTCCTGATTTAAAGAAAGATACAAGGAAGTGTAACGTGCCTACCTTTTGGAAAGTCACGCTTTCTTAATATTTGTTTTTCATCTCTACAGCAAAATGACCACAGTAATCTGTGTTGTACTCTGACCTATTAACATCCCAAATCCAAAATGTACTTGAGTATTTGATCACTTTAAAGTGATACTTAAACTACCTACAATCACAGTAATTTGAATTGCTGATTCTTAAGGACATACTAACATAGATCACATGGTTAACATTTTTCTACACCAAAGTCAGAACAGAGGCCCAAACACAAATCAAAGCCTGAATCAAAGCCTAAACAAAAAGCCTGGCTCAGTGTTTATAGATGATACAAGTCAGAACTGGGAGAAATTTTGAATTTTGTGGCTATATATTTCATAATCACTGGTCCTTCATTAACTCCAGTTTGAAACTGGTAATAAGTGACAAAGCTTAATCAAAACCAAAGGCATCAATGAATTATTTAAAGGGAAGAAGAACATGAGGGGTAGGGAATGATGTCCTGTCTTCACCAAGTACTATGTATTGGCTATTTTACTACACCTAACAGCAAACACTTAAGTTGTAACACCTCCACCTACAGATAGTGAACTAAGTCAAGAAATAACATGTAAAATAGAAATGCATCCCTCCCCTTGTTTTACGTCCCACATATGATGCTATTTCAAGAACATTCTGAAATTAAAATTTAGGCAGGATTATTGTTTGCACTGAAGATGAATACTGGTTTTCTGTCAATGGTGTAAAAAAATTTAAAGAGAAGTATCATCACTCAGACTGATCCAGCTACAGCTTGAAGTATTTAGCCATTAGCCATAAACCATACTGTTGATAAGCTCATAAAATTTAAACCTTCAAATGCATAAAACTACAAAGCATCTATTGCCCATTATATGTCCTTATGACTGTACTATAGTTACTCAGGAGAAATCTCAGGTGGCTGGAACTTACATCTTTTACAATGCTAGATTTATTTGAGATAAGAGAGACAAAATTATAGCAGAGGTACATTTTTAATAGGAAAGTACATCCCCTTGCCAATTAAATATTGAATAAGCTGGCATTTGTTTCTTTATTGTAGCGCCTAGGGCATTATAAATTCAAAGAGGATGAAGATATAATAATTTTTTTTTCTACAGGAAAAAACATTGAGTTAGTTTTTTTCCCATTTGCCATTTTCATGAAATGAAAGTATTGCTTTTCTCTGAGGTCCCTCCCTAGTTTCTAATTTACTGACTTTGTTTATATTTCTTACATCTTACTGACTTACTCATTTCCCCTTTTAGATAAGGTATGTTTGAATGAACTGCTTTCCAGATTTCATCAAAGTGAAGGGAGATTTTCTCCACTCACAGCTTATCCTACCTGCAAAACTAGTACTACAGAATAACAAATAACCCTAGAGATCACTATATCTCTAGCCCTAGAGTACACTAGAGATCAAAATAGATCCCAAAAGCGCATTGCAGAGGTATTGTCCTGTGTTCATGCATCTGACCAGGCTGAAATTACTCTGTTTTACTGCTTTGTTTAATGATAACATGTTTCAGAGGCTCAACAGCCCTGCAGGCAGGTGAATGGAACAAGAAGTCAAAGCAGGGGACTGAAAAAGCCACTGAGAATTGTGTTTCTTATGTTTCAGTCCTTTGTGAAGTTGAAAGCTAGAAGATTCATAAGTTTGAGGACAGGGAATAATTTTCTCCCATTTCCAAACAGAACAAAACAGTGCCAGACATATTGCCTGGAACGGCAAGGGCATATCTCATTTAATCAGTTCCTTGTTGCAGAAAGCCATCGAAAATTGCTGTCTTCTCTGTTTGTTCTGTTCTCTTCCCAAGTATGATATCTGAAAAGTGTCCAGTCAACTAAAACTGTAGACTTCACTGGGGCACTATTGTTGAACAACTGTTCTTAAAGGATCAGTCTGTAGATCCAACCTGAAATGCTAAAGAATCCCAACAAATTTAGAAAAAAAAAATGTATTTCTAAGACCTGATTAGATCTTTAAACCATAGTCTGGGTTTTTGCTACTGAATGTTATAACAGATTTGTTAAAAAAGCTGGAGGTCCTCAGTGTCTCTGTTTTGGAAAACTAGGGGTGTCAAAAAGATGTTGACACTATTTAAGAACTGCATGTGGTCTTTAACTAGATGTCCCAATAATTAGGGGTATGGAAATGGCAATAATCCAAACCACACTTCTTGGATTTGGCTGAAAATCAATCGTATTTAGTGCTGGTGTTTCTGTGGGTGGAGCAGAACTGGTCCGCTGAAGAGTTATAGACGTTGAATGAATATTTACTGATCATTATTGTAAAAGTTTATATCTGCCTGGCATGGAGAATCAGGTTTAACTTCAAATAAGATGAGTTAGATCACTCAGTTGGTAGTTAGCCAATAAAAGAGAGTCTCCTCTGTGTAAATATTTATTTTTCATAGTTATTTTTTCTGTTAGGAGTTCTAATTGACTCAGACATTTCTTTTGCTCATCAAACACTCCAGGCATTAGGGTTATAAGCCATGTCATATATATATATATATATATACATATATATATATACGTATACATATATATATATATATATGTGTATATATATATATATATATATATGTATGTTATGGTATTATATGCCATGATTTGAGTCTTCTTGCTGATATGCAAGGAAGACCACTCATTTTATTTGCATCAGTTACTTGCACAGAGTCCTACCTGATCTCTTGACCTATGCTTGCAGAATATTTAATATAAACTAGAACAGTGTAACTGATTCAGATGGGAGAAATGTTATTGTTTTTTCAGTTCATCTTAACATTACAAATTTGCCGTGATAATGCTACCTGCATAGCTCCAGAGAAATAAACCATCATGAACATTTCTCGCTTGTAAATTGCTATCTTAAGTTTTTCAAATACTGTGTCCTTCAGAGGGGAATTAATCTAAATGTTTGTACTAAAGACAAAAATCCTCAACCTGAACTACCAAAAGCTAAATGACAAAGTGCAAGCATAAGAACCATTATCAGTATTTGATATTAACTTTTTAATTGCAGACAATGGAAGCCATTAACGGTGGGAAACTCTTTTCCACTGCCTACCTAATGGACTTAGGTGCCTGTATCAAATCATTACGCTACTGCGCAGGCTGGGCTGATAAAATCCATGGGCGTACTGTTCCAATGGGTGAGTATTTTTGAGATAACAAAAGTACAGAACTGAAGCCAATGAGAGCTGTAAATAACTGACTTATCTAAAAGTTGTGCTACACAGAAAATATCTCAAATGGAAAATGTTTTAGATAGTTTTTAGTATAGGTTATTAAAGATTTATCACAGTTTTCAGTTTAAACATTTAGTGCAGTTCTTCACATTTATTTCTTGTTCTATACACTACTAACCAGTATTGTTTATTGACCAATAAATTTAACCTGTATGTATATCTCAGAAACCTGTAGTGTACTTTTGCATAGAAATGTATGGTTTATGCAAGACTACAGTAGTGAAAACCAGGTATTTGCTTATTAAAGCTAAAATTAGCACAAAGAAGTAATATTTGTTTCAGTTATTGGATAATGTACTAGGAAGAGTAAGTACTAAGAGATAGGAAGAAGGAAAGAGTATTTTGCTAAAATTTCACTCTATTCCCTTTCCCATTATGTAGCTCTGTGAAAACATTGTCTTTCAAGCCACCTTTTCTCAGAAGGACAAAGCAAAGAATGGCAATAAAGAAGGAATTAAGGAAAACTGGAGTGATAAATACTTCCAACTTTTTTTGCATCACGTAGATCTCTATACTGGGCTTAACAGAGCACATGTTTGTTTGAATCAAAGAGAACTTTATACTTAATGGATTTGATTTAAGCTGAGACCTGATATTAAAAAATGTCTGATATGTACCTAGGATTTAAAAGAGCACTTTCTGAAACAAAAAAAGGCGATAAAAGAAAAAAGAAATTAAGAATGCTCATTGGTGTGCTCTGCATACTACATTGAGAAGCAGGGTTATCACTGCAAAAAGTCAGTCAGACTGGCAAAAACTTTGGACGAAGAAAGTAGGCATTGAATCCAGATGTGCTTTATGGATCTTTTCATAGTTAAAATTTTGAAAATATCATTTATAAGTAAAATTGTATCCAGCTAAGTTTTGTATCCAACTTTATCATCCTTCTGATTTAACTATCTCTTACAAATGCTTTGTCTGCATGTCTAATTATTTCTTTGTCCCATAGATGGAAACTTTTTTACATTTACAAGACATGAGCCTATTGGTGTGTGTGGCCAAATTATTCCTGTAAGTTGCAACTATTTATGTATAACACAAATATTCCTTGTTACAAGTGGAAATGCTTTTGAAATTTTGTCTATGCAAGTGCATTTGTGAAAAATTACTAACCAGAAATTTTCAGATCCTGAAAGATAAAGGCTATCCTGAGTACTCAAATTCTGCAACACAATTTTTGATGAGTCAGCCTGGTTTGACCTTGTCTCCCTCCTCCCTGTATAACAAGGGAAAATAAATCTCAAAAGATTGACAGAATAGTTTGAAAGATGAAATTATGTTTTGTAGGAAATGAAAGAATTAGAAACAAACATGTAAGAGAGTGTAATATTTACAGCCTACCAGCAATAAGCTGTTTAAGACCTAAAATATCTGTTCTGCTTCATGTAGCTTCCAGACAGATGGATTTTTAATTATAGCTAGGACTCACCATCATAGTGGTACAAGTAACAACACAAAGAATGTGTCCAATAATGCCATGTTTGGCATGTCTAAACTCCCAGTTTTGAAGTCACTTATTTTAAGCAAAGATTCAAAAAAGCCAGCCCTGAAGAACTCTACTTTTAAATTTATTTGTGAGGTCTATACAGTTTTAGTGGGCGCCTGTGAAAACAGTTGCATGCACTAGACACTCCTAATCCAAGCACCTCTTTGCACATGGTAGTTGTGAGCAGTCTCACCTGACCTGCCTGACAACTTAACAGATTCTGAAATACTCACCTTGTCTATTAGGTTTGCTCAAACATGTGAGTGCCACACAGGTTCCTCATGTCTTTCAGTTGAGCTTGAAGATTTGCTATCCCTTTATACCACCACATTGATTTGGAGAACACTGCTGGGATATGTTTGGATCCAGTCTCTAGGAGAGCTAGGAAACTGATGGTTTAGATTCTCTCGTAGGTCAGACACAAAACATTTCAAGTAAAACGCTCAAGTAAAAAGCTCAGTTAAGATAAGATAAAAAACTATAAACACTAGATGTGACCATTTTAATAAAATTACATACTGGAAATATAAGCAGCAGTTAGCACAAACACTGCCTTCCCTGATAAAATGTTCAAGGATTTCTGCGTATGTCTTAATTTTCTCTTCATTGAAAAAAGAACCACCAAGTTGGAGGTTTCCACATAAAGCAAAATTTTGAGGACTATGTGAATGTTGCAAACCACTTCTGATAGCTCAACATTTCCGTTTCCTTTCTCTCACACAATCCTACTTTAATAATGAATATTCAGAAAATCCTCTAATTCCTCAGTTTGTGTTATTTATACTCCCACTCTTTTTGCTGATAGGGTGAGACTGAAATGAGAGAAGGAGAAAGAAAAAGAATAGTTGCATGTATATTCCTCCAAGCCTTTTTGATATAATAGGAAGCTTTTAACTACCTTTTTTTCCATTTATAAAGGTGTCTTATGAGCTGAGGCTTGTGGACTCAATGCTTCCCAAACTATTAGAAATATGTTTAAAGGGGCAGAGTTTTTATACTGATCACATTATCCCTCGCACTGCAGAACACGGGGTCCAAAGCAGTCAGCTGCTCTGCAGTCTGTCTGGACAGACCACAACCAATAACCACCATTGAAACTTCCAGGGAAGAGGGATGGGGTAGCATTATTTGTTATTACCTTGCCTCCGTTAGAAAACTGAATTAATGAGAGATGTGATCATTTACAATAGCAAAACTCCCAATTACACCACTAGTTCAACAACTGTCAGTAAGGTTGTTAGGGGAGTACACTTACTGTTTCTTGAGCTTTTAACTAGTACGTTTGATCCCCTGTACTTACATATACAAAAATCACTAGTCTTTGTGTTACGTGGTCTGCCAGTTACTTTTTCAAAATATCTTCATTATGAAAGGAGTTCAACAAAGAGTTCAACACCGAGTTGACAATTTGCACTATTATAATAAGAAAAGCTGAGGCATTTTGGTGATGTATTAGAAATCGGATACACTTTCTCATCTGTCTTTCAGTGGAACTTCCCATTGGTTATGTTCATGTGGAAGATTGCCCCTGCCCTTTGTTGTGGAAACACTGTGGTTGTCAAACCAGCAGAACAAACTCCACTCACTGCCCTTTACATGGGAGCCTTAATTAAAGAGGTAAGTCGTAAACAACAAAGTTATTTGCCATTCTCAGAAATGTAAGAGTATACTGCAACTGAAATGCCACAGAAGTAATATAATCGGGCTGGCCTCTGCCAGTACTTTTCATTGCATGCCTAGCCTTGCACTGTGGAACTTACCTTACTGTAAACCAGTAAAGACAATCTAGGGCAAAAGTATGCATATCTTTCAACCTAGTACACACATACAAAACCCCACAACAGCCATTTAGAAAACTCCATTCTTTCAGAAATATATTTGTATTACAAAAGCACAGTACCTTTCAAAGTCAAAAGGAAGCAAGAACTCATGGATGTGGGTGGCAAGGACTTTATTAGTATAGTTATCACAGAGAAGAACCTGTTTGTACAGCTTTTTTTTTTTTTTAATTGAACAAAGTCTTCATCCACCTGGGTTTATTATTAACAAGGAGCTGTAAAATCAGACTAGTGAGTGCTGCCAAACCTGTGAACTCTCTTCACACAGAAACTATGAGAATACTCTTTGTGCTTTTGAACACGAGAGTGTGTTAGTTTCTTCTATGTCTCCAGAGTTAACTATGGTGCCCAGGCCAGCAAACACCCAAAGAGAGTAGTTAAATAGTTTAGCTTTCTTCCCAACAAAATCAACAAATATAATCTAACATGTTTCAAAAGTTGGCACAGATGTCAATAATCACCAGGGCAGTAACCTAGCAGAGTTTTAATGGAAATGACTTGGCACATTTTCTTATCTGTTTCAAAACAATGATTCAGCAGAGCATATTGACTGATTATGTATTAATATTACACAGAAACTAAATGGCTATCAGGATGGACCCAAGTCCTGCTGTTATTGCATCACATAGTAAATGCTATTAGATAATATTGGGGACAAGGATTTGCACTAAAATATATTAGAGACACCTTCCCTATTAATTTTTAACAATAAGTATCAGAAAGTATATGTCTCTGAAAAAAGTAACTTTACAGGGAAAGTAACTCAGTTCTCCTATCAGTTTAATGAACTATCTATTCTGATATTCTGATTTCCTGAAAAGAATGCTCATAAGTGGAAATGTGATCAGTATCCGATTATACACACAAAGTTGGAGCCAAATCTCTGACAGTCATCACTTCAATAGCTGCTTTAGACTTGTGAAAATAGCTGAAGGTCTAATTTAACTTTCTACTTCTCAAGTGTCCACATTAAAAAAAAATATTATCACTTTTGGTAATCTTCATTATAGTTCTTAACAGCCCTCACAAGTCTCCCTTTTTAATATATATAGAGAAGAGCTTCTACAACAAACATGGAAATTAAATGTTCAAAGTGACACAGTGTGAATTAGTTCCATAAAAAATTACTCTTCTTACTTTTCTCTACAAATTAAGTATGAAATACAATGCTAAGCAAATTAAAGGAACCTCACTGCCTCATCAATTTCAGGGTAAATATTAATCTAGAATATTAAATGAGCATAACAAACATGGACAGAGTGTATCTGAGCATGAAATTGTCAGGAATAAAAATTGGTAGAATAAAAGTAACACTCTTGTGTTGATAACACAGGGCATTAAGTTTTAGGAGCTGTAACTCAGCACCTGAAATTCACCATTTTCCAAATAAAAATTGAAACTTTGGCATGAAATATCGAAGTCCTGTTTAATGCTATAAAGAGACTTATTTAAGTGATAATGCAGAAGATTAATCTTTTTAATATTTTAATTCAATGTTTAATGGCTCTGCAAGTGCCATTAAGATCCCATAGCTGCTGACAAAAAAAGCCAGCAACACTTCACAAATCCTTGGAGTTTGCCTGGCAACCTGCTGGAAGAAAATAGCTTATTTTGCTTATGAATGGAACATAACTAATACAGGATTGAAGGGAAATCATAGATTTGAACAACAAGAAAAGTCTATTTGCACAAAAAATGTGCAGGATATTGGAAGTGTGCATATCTCAGGTGACCCGCTTTTTCATGCTTGGTAGCTGATCTGCCTCTTTTTTGCTGTAAACTGTCATGTTGCCCACTCTACTCTCAACCTACATCCAGAGGAACAAGCAAAGACATTGAGTTTGAAGTAGTATTTCCATCATTTTTCTTAATAGAATTTTAGTCAGCAGATCATTAATTAAATTCCATCTAGCATATTTGTCAATGTGCAGAAGTCAGCAAGTACACATGTTGATTTAAACAGCTTTAATGAAGCAGACATGAAAATAAGCAGTCTTTCTTTACACATCTGACTGAGAAAAGAAAAAAAAAAGTATTTCTTTGGAAATGGCACCAACAAGGAACTAAAAGGGCATAAATACTGTGAGAATGAAAACAATTGGGGATGTAGGGCTGAGAATAAATGTATGGCTGAGAAAAGATGGCTGGAGACGGGAAGTAAAACTGCCAGAAACATATTCTTCTAGTCATTATCCTTCCCCAAATTTACAGAGTTCTTTCTTCTAATTCAGGCAGGATTTCCACCTGGAGTTGTGAACATCGTGCCAGGCTTTGGACCCACTGCTGGAGCAGCAGTTTCTCACCACATGGATATAGATAAAGTAGCTTTCACAGGCTCTACAGAGGTACTGTAATGAATGCAAGAAAATATAAGCAGGAAATGTACCCCTCTGATTCCCACAAATGATTTAATGTCTTAACTTGTTCTATGTAATTATTTTAACTCTCATCTTTTTTTTGACTGATGGTTTGTTAAACAAATTCTGTTTAATGATTTGTTGGTTATTGTTAACTTTAAACATATTTAAACAGTATTTGCTGTTGCTGGCAAGCCCTTCAAACAAAGGCAGTCAATGAGATAACTAGGTTCTAGTATACCAAGGCTATTTTAAGTCTTATGCACTTAAAACAGAACATTTTCATAACATAGTTTGCACCTTTTTTTAAGAAGCTCTGTTCCCTTTAATTTTAACAACAATAGGATGGTAGGAAGGTACCTAAGAAATCTCATGCCTGGTTCTGCACACACTTAGATGAGGTGATGGCTTTTTGGTATTTCAATGATACTTAGGATCATCTGGGTGGTTTTAGAAGAGTATTTGGATATGTATTACTTTAATAATTACAAGAAAGGTCACTGTTAATTTTCCCTAACCTTCAACCTGAAGAACTGTGAGTGATATAATTGAAGATTTCTCACTGCAGGCATTATATAGCTGTATCCTTAATACAGTTCATTATATTGTCAGTCTGCTTGCATACTAAATGGAAAAGCTGCCATCTGGTCTCTTAACTTCTTGGATATAGACTCCAAAGATAAATATCATTCCCTTTTGTCAGGGATCAGTACACACTGAGTGCAAGAGCTACATTTACTCTTAGAAACCTTTAGTTCTGAAGTAATGGGAAAAGAAAACAACCCAAACCCCAGACACAAAAGAAATATCCCACAGTAACAACTACAACTCCCAGTGCCCCATGACCCTCCAAAGGCAAATGGACCCAAGGGTGTATTTGTAGATTTTGGTGGCAGTCCTCTACTAGCAGTGCAATTTAGCAATGAGAAATGATGGCAGGAATGTTGACAGAGGGAGGAAGTTTATCTGGTGTCTGCTATACACAGGCAGTCAGAGACCGAAGCCACAAGAGCTACAAGCATGTTTTTCCTTCACAGTTTTTCCAGGGCTACTCATAGTAAGTAGTTCCTTAAATTATGTCACCAGTTCTACCTCACAGTATCCATTTCCTCCTCTTTTTTCTTTTAAGGGAGAAATTGAAACAAGGAAGTGTCCATACAGGCAATGTAGATTCTTTCCTACATCTTTGTGCATCAGAGGGCTTTTCCATGTATAAAACAGAGAAATTTCAACCTAATGGGAGCAACAGGCAGAGCAGAAATCAGTGCCTACTTTAGGTTACAGATACATGCAAGTATAGTGGTGGTAACCCAAAAAGCAGTTCACATTGATGCCTCAGGATTTTTAGGATTTTTAGCTTTTTGTAGATTTTAATGTAGCTGTGTAGTCTGTCGCCCTTTAGAATAGTAGTTACCACTCACCAAACCCTATTCCCCTGTTTCATACAGAATTTTCTAAATTTTTTAGGCTTGTTTAGGCTCCTTTCAAGGCAGAACTATAGTAAACACATTCTGTTTAAGCGCATATGCACCCCAGGCCTGAACAACAAGGTAGCATCACAGTCAAAGCAACCTTCAACCCTGGAACCTCGGAGAAGCTCCAAAGACAGTACGTGCTGTGAAGAAGAGGAAGATGAGGAAGAAAGGGGTCTTAGGATGTCCAACTCAATTTCTGGGGAGGCATGCCAGGGGGGCAGGTTTGGGGAGGATCTGGGGGCAGATAGTTCTTGGATCAGACCATAAGTTGTGGAACCCCTGGACATGGGTGTGAGCACTTTTGTACTCCTTGCACCAGAATGCCTTCATTAAAGACCTGCTCGATATCTTACCTATACTAAATTTGCCTTGTGAGTTTTTTGTCCTTGATCTTTAGGCAACAATATGAATGTATACAGGGGGAAACTATTCTAGAAAACAGTTCTGATTCATAGGCTACAAGTCACCTGCACCCTGAATCTTCAATTTTTTTTTAATTTATTTTTCATTTTGTTGCTGGGATAGTAGATAACTGTGGATGGATTTTCACTTCTGAGGAAGTCAGAGAAGTTTTTGAGGTCATTATAACCTTTTTGAGATGAAACTGTCCTCTCCCTACCCTCTAGGTTGGCAAACTGATTAAAGAGGCAGCCGGAAAGAGCAATCTGAAGAGAGTTACCTTGGAACTTGGAGGAAAAAGTCCTAACATTATATTTGCGGATGCAGACTGTTAGTAGCAATTTTATTATATAAACTACTACTATTGCAAATTTAATTCTCTTTTTTTTTCTCTGTCAGTAAATTGTTTCAAGTAATTTTTAATTTTAATTATTTGAGTAATTTTTAATGTTTTCTGGTCATGCCATAGTTTTAAGTTGGATTGCCACCAAAACCTGATGGCTCCTGAATAGCTATGGATCTATGACAACCTGTCCAACCTTAATGTAATGATCATGCTAATGCAATATGAATGCAGAACCAAAAGTAGATTTATACAGGTTTATTAAATTTCTAGCTAAATACTCCTGTTGCTACTGCTGACGCAGCAAATAACGTTGGATCTACATTTCACCTAGAACAGCTTAACGTGTGTTTAACTAGGTGTATCATGCTGCTCTTGATAAGAGTAGTTCGGACATAAGTACATGGTTTAAAGCATCATAAAAATAAAAAGTGCTAAAAAGGGAAATGAGATGCAGTGACAAAGCTTACTAAAGAGTTTATGATGTGACAATTTGTGTTTATGATCTGATGAACTCTGCATTTCTTTGCAGTGGACACCGCGGTGGAATTTGCACATATTGGTGTGTTCTATCACCAGGGACAGTGCTGTATAGCAGGATCTAGAATTTTTGTGGAAGAGCCTATTTATGATGAGTTTGTTCGCCGAAGCATTGAAAGAGCAAAGAAGTATACTCTTGGGAATCCTCTGTTGCCTAATGTACAGCAAGGCCCTCAAGTAAGTAATGTTACATGTTTCCACCATAATTATGTCACAACATTGCAATTTAATGTGCTTATAAACCTATTGTTGCAGTACTTTCAAGGCTAAGTATGGTTTTCTAGTGGATAGTCTAGAGAATGAGGAGGAAGAAACTGGAGAGATTGTTGTTTACAACACTATCATAAGCCAAAGGGTGAGGTCTCCTCTTTTCTACTTCCTTTTATTAGCGAGGAGAACAATTATACAAAATATAAGTGCTCTGAGAAACCTCCAATGCACCAGCTGTAAAAGTGCATTACAATCACCCATGTCATGTTAGAGGTTGCTAATTACGTATTCAAATAGTGCCACTGTAAGTGACTAGCTTGAGGAAATAAGACTTTTAGTGTCTTTCCCCCTTTTTCAAGGTGCTAGACCTTCATTAAACTGCTCTCAGTTTTAGAATATTACACAATTTAAATACAACAGTTTATTATTTTTTCCTGCTTTTGTTAAAAGGTTATGCCAGTAGTTTCCCCATCAAATGAAGGCTAAAATGCAACATTAATAACTATAGTTATCACAATGCTGTGAATTCAATGGATCACATCAGACCATTGTTAAATTAGTTCTCATCTAATCTTATTTCCATATCAGCTTATACTGCAGGCAGAGCTATTATGTGTACATTTGATTATCACAGAATAAAAGAACTGTTTTAGAGAAAGGAAAAAGTTGGAGACAAAGCAATTCCCATACATTTGATAGTATAACGTGTTCTTCACTGGTTATCACAGTCATTTTATGTAATAAAAGACACCAAGTAAATTGGAAAAAAACACATTCCAAGCCACACAAGATTTGGGAAATTTAAAAATATTAAGGAAGGATACTATTTTATTTTCCTACAATGTTTTCCTATGTTTTGATACAAGATAATAGATTCATCTGAATAAATTTTAAAAGGCCAAGGGCAGGAAGGTTCAAACAAGTGAATTCCAAGTGTCTGTTGTACAGCTAATATAAAATTAAGAGAGATCTTCTATCAGGTTATTGTGGCTTTACTGAGTTTGAAATTCATACTAACAATTTGAATGAGAAATGTAAGTAAACTTCTACTAAAAAAATAAGGAAGGTTAAATGTGAAAAAGCAATACTGAAAATATTTTAAAGAACAGAAAATTTTTTTCTCCTCTAGTCTCATCATTTGCAATTATTGACTTATTTTTCTTCTTAGCAAACTTTAGCAGAAACTTAACAATTTTACAGATTAGCAAAGTTACTGTTTTTAGAACTGGTATGACCCCTTTTAATGGAAAATTGTGGTTTGGGTGTAGTTTCTTTTGTGGTAATTATGTTAAATATCTCTCTTTGTCTTCAAATTGCTTGTGCTTTGACTGATTGTTCCTAGAAACAAAAACTGATAGCCCATATCAAGCCTATTCACTGTGATGTCTTGCCATAGGGAAAAAGACATACTTGTTGTCCAGTTCACAGGCCCTCTGGGGCCGCACCTGCCCTAGACAGCAAGTTTGGGTAACACTGTGCATGTTGTTCACCAAAGCAGAGTCAAAAGCCCTATTGGAATTCAAAAGATCCTATATACGCATTATTAAGAAAAATAATGATGATTATAACAAAGGAAGGACTGACAACATGAGCTGTATCATATAAACCTTGTTTTCTCTCCAAGATGTTTATGTGGCCACCAGGGTAGCAGAAATTTTATGTCTTCAGCATCCAGTAAGGCAAACATTTCTTTGAAAGTAAAATGACAAAGAGAGTGCAGTGAACTAAAAGTCATCTCCTTATAAATCCATATCCTTATAGCTATAAACTTTTATCACAGCTTTATTTAAATAGCTGTTTAGTCTAATACGTGTCCAGAAATCCCCAGAACCTTGGAAAATATTGTTGTGTTCTAAGACCATAGTAAAACTTGTTGCTCAGACTGAAACTCAACATTTTTATTGCACAAATAAGAGAATAAGATACACACCTACTCTGCTCTGCTAATTGATGTGTATGATCACAGAGAAGAATAATCTGTGCAAGAGTCACTCTGGAAGTAATCTCAGTATCTTCGTGAGCTAGTGCTTGAAGGACTGAAGTCTGAAATAATGAAGGAAAGAATCATGAAAATGGAGCAAAGAAAGAAAAGAAAAAGAGAATGTTAGAGGCATTTACCAAACAACCTTTATCATTAAGGTTTTTTTGACATACATGTTATCTTGTGCACAACTTCCCTTCAGGCCTGAAGGGTGATTGGTGGATTTGGACCTTGGAGGAGAGAAAACAATGTGTTATCTGTTTCTAGTCCCCATTTACACTATTTGTTTTTATCCATTTTGTCACAGCAAACTGAAAGGAGTTAGAGAAATATAAGCACTTGTTGTACTGTCACCATAAACTTCTTTTCCAGACTAAGGCCCTGCATTTTGCCAAACTATAGAACTAAACTGCAATATACTTGGGATATATTGAATTTGTTGGTAAGCCTGAGTGAATGGAAGGGCAGAGATTGGCTTCATATCATAAACAGTTTGTCATCTATGTTTCTCAAATGCCAAGCGTATTTGTCTTTATTCCATTAATAAATCAGAATGAATTAAAAATAACATTAAATTTAAATTATATTTAATAGTTGTTTTTTAACTTCCTCTAATATTTTAGGAAAGCAGTATGGCCAATCTACAAGACCTGATGCAGGACAGAAGGGTCTTACTGGCTAGATCAAGCTCTCCATTATTTTTTCAGAGTCAAGCCCAGCAATTTTTGATTTGATGAACCATTTCTGGTTGGCAAGAGTACTGAGAAGTATAAGTCACATTAATTTTGTCCCTCTAAACCTCATCCTCCTATGTCAAAATTTCTGATTATTGGTCTATTTGAGAAAAGCCTACAAATTTTTGAGAAGTTAGTGTCAAGAATATTAGCAGTGCTCACCACCTGTTCCACTTCAACACATGTAATTGAACAAAGTTGGAACGTTGTTAAGTTTAGATTAGTGAGTTAGAAGACCAACTGTTATCAGTGTGTGTGCTGTTTACATCCCTGAAATATCTTTTCATTTAGATTGACAAGGAGCAGTATAAAAAAATCCTGGAGCTAATCGAGAGCGGGAAAAAAGAAGGAGCCAAACTGGAATGTGGGGGAGGTCCATGGGGAGACAAGGGTTACTTCATCCAGCCCACAGTTTTTTCTAATGTTACTGATGAAATGCGCATCGCCAAAGAAGAGGTAAATAAACTTTTAGCCATCTGTTCTCTCACTGAAGGTTGTCTATTTAAATGTCTGTACAAAATACTCATTTAGAGGGTCAAGCAATGACATAAAAATGCTCTCAATAAGTCTGTTGTTCCATCTTGGTGGTGTTTAAAGTGCCTTTGTTGGTTTCTGATGCCCATTTCACCAACTTGGTTGTGGTGAGGGAGAGGAGTATGAGACTGGCCTGCCAACGAAGTCTCCTGTTTAGGGTGGAAGCAGATAAATGCTGAGGTTTGGATTATTAACATCAGCCCAGACTGCCTATGTGTCACATACCAGCATCACAGTGACCAGTAACAGAGAAGCAAACAGTGGAGGCACAGCTTGTGAACAATTTACACTGCCTAGGGAGCCACTTAATTTAGTGTTTGGACACAACATGTACCAGGCAGCTATTTTGCAATATGAGAAACTAGTTGATTTGTGCTTCCACATGCCTGTTGTCGGTGGCAATTACTGTACGTCAGAGTTCTGCCTCTGTGGAGTTATTTAACTTAGATCAGTTTACAAGTGTGTCTACACATGACTGAAGAATCTTTTACTGACCCAACTGAGGTGACAGTGCCAGGGCATCAGTGAAAGTCTGCAAGGAACAGCAGAGAGTTAGGAGTGCAGAGCTGCTATATCAGCTAGCTCTGTAAACACAGCCTCAAAGTCCAGTCATGACCTCTTCTCTGTGTTTTTTTATATTCATCTTGATTAATAACTGCTGCAACTGGGCTGCAATTGGTGTCCATTATACTTCATAAAAAAAGGTCCTTCAAAATACTCCTAACTGTTGCTTTACAAAGCCAACAATACTGCTGATGCAGTCTGATGAACATACCTACTACATCCACCAAGAGTCAACAGCCCTAGTTAAAATGAACACCACAACAGCTAGAGTTAATTGCGACAAGGAGAAAGCTGTAAAACAGGAGAGAGCTCTATGAGACAGAATTTGGATTGTTTCTGCCAACCAGGAGTCAGGTAAGAAACCACACAGAGTTATGGGTTTTTTTGCTGCTCTATTAGTTTCTCTTTGATCAGCAGTAAAATGACTGCTTCTCACATTATTTTAAATGTAAGGAAAAATGAAACCCCAGATAGCCAAGACAATTTAAAGAATATCCAAGTTTTGAAGTTCACAGTTTGAATAGTAGGGGAATGTTCAGTGGTTTTCTGACCTATGTAAATCAACTATTGCAACACTAGTTAGAAACTGACATTAAAACTCAGTCAGGTAGAAAGCTCACAATCTGTTGTAATAGAAGTAATTGGATGTAGTAATGTCCCCTCACACTACACAGTCTTGGCGTATTGTGGTGGGCATGGGCACCTCTGGCTGAGAACACTGAGTGCTGGTAGTAGGAAAGTGGAACCTGACTATTTTCTCACCTAACACCCATATGGAAAGCAGAATTAGTTGTTCCACTTGGAGTACATTCCCAATTGTGCAGCTACCTACAGAGATAAAAGTCTAATAGAAAATTTAGGTGAAGAAAAATTGCATGTCTTTCTCAGCTTTAAAACTAGTTTGCCAAGAAAATCCCCATTTGTTGGTAACCAATATAGATATCTAGCAGAGGGTGACACCATGTCAGCTACCTTTATGGTGGGAGTCTTTTAATCCTTGTTATTTGTTTTCATAATTTATTTATTTATTGTTTTATTAATCATTTTATGATAGGCTATCTTGATTTACATCATATTTCAAAAATCTTTATGTGAATTTACAGTACTTTTTAGAAATTTTTCTGAAATATACAGTCTTGGCTGAATGAATTCAGGAACAAAACCATCTAATAGATGTAAATTTAATAAACATAAATTACTTAAAATAGTAAGTTATTCTAGTCCACTTTAAAAGCTTACATGTGTTTGATACAGATATTTGGACCTGTTCAACAAATCATGAAGTTTAAAACTATAGATGAAGTAATCAAGAGAGCAAATAATACTACGTATGGTTTAGCAGCAGCAGTTTTTACCAAAGACATTGATAAAGCATTGACATTTGCAGCTGCTCTTCAGGCTGGAACAGTATGGTAAGTCATGTTTTTTTAAATTCTTCCTTTAGATCTGCAGGTGTCAATGGCACTGATTGTAGGACATTTTCACACTTTTTTGGGTAGTATATTTTTATATTTATTCCTTGTCATCTTTGTAGAGGTGGATCATTGTCATCCTTCTCTGTATCTCCTCCCCTCACTTTTCCCTACTTAATGTGCTATTAAATACTTATGTCTTGAAAGTCTTCACACAATTGGCCTGTAAACTTAGTCTAAAAAAGGAAATTGACTTGCTAAAAAGGAAAGGAAACAACAAAAAAATACAGTGAGAGTGCCTTCTTTCTTTACGTTCAGGATCTGGGGATAAATTAATAGAGAGCATGCAAAGGAAAGGAGTAAAGGTGGTGAAGGGCCTTGAGGGGAAGTCGTATGAGGAGTGGCTGAGGTCACTTGATCTGTGCAGCCTGGAGAAGAGGAGGCTGAGGGGAGACCTTATTGCAGTCTACAACTTCCTCATGAGGGGAAGAGGAGGGGCAGGCACTGATCTCTTCTCTGTGGTGACCAGTGACAGACCTGAGGGAACACACTGAAGTTGTGTCAGAGTAGATTTAGGTTACATATTAGAAAAAGGTTCTTCATCCAGAGGGTGGTTGGGCACTGGAATAGGCTTTCTGGAGAAGTGGTCACAACACCAAGACTGCCAAAGTTCAAGAAGTATTTGGACAGTGCTCTCAGGTACATAGTGTGACTCTTGGGGATGGTTCTGCGCAGGGCCAGGAGTTGAACTCAATGATCCTTGTGGATCCCTTCCAACTCAGCATATTCTGTGATTCTGTGAATACATAACTTATGGGGATCGTTTTCAGTATTGTGTAAAGAAATTAGTTATCTGAAGTTCTGTGGCCATTAGCCTGTGCAGAACATCCATCTGTAATGGAAAAAATTGATAAAATGTGATTGAACAAAGGAAGGAAACACAAGCTGAGGGAGAACTGCTACAAGGCCAACTATTTCCAGCAATGGAAGAGGCAACCTACATAGAGCTGGAAAATAAAAGGATAAGAGATATAAGAGTGAAAGCTTGGAGGCATAACAGAGTCTAGACACTATCACTGACAAAGATCTGCTTTTCCCTACAATTATTTCAATGCATCAGAAGGAGAACAACCAGTTTTACTTGAATGCAAAATCTGTGTCCAATTTACATTTTATCTGAAAGCACTTGCAACGAGCAAAAATTCCTGCCGGGGTCCTGTGACCTAAAACCAGATACTTTCTAAAAATAACTTAACAGTTTTGACTTAGGAGTTGTTATTCTTTATACGGAAGGAAGTTTCAAACAGAGGTAGAATCTTTGGGTTTTGCTCTTACATGATTGGTGGTCTAGGAATCCTTAACTATGAACAGAATCTCTTCTGTTGAAACCAGCAGACTGGCAGAAGAGATTATAAAATATGTAAATAGAGAATATTTGATTTGACAAGGTTGTAAGACAAAAAGAGCTTCTCAGTCAGGAAGCAGGATGCACATTCTGCCAAAATTCTTCATACTTACAAATTCCCCTTTGAAGTTCCTTTCTTACTCACTGTATCTTGTTCTCAAATACAATACAGAACATGGTTTAACTGAGTAGAATCAAACAAAACTTCCTAAACATATACCGAAGCTATCATGAGTTTATCAATAAGAAGTGGACCTGCAGAAGACTTAGCTTTGGCTAGTGTTTTGTTTGAGAGCTGATGTACGAGTTAGGAGCTTTATTGAGGGTATCAGAGAAAGGTATGATGGTCACTCTGCTTGAAGACCCTTCGTGAGTATTATTACCCTGCTTATAATTGACAGAAAAAACATTGATTTTACAGAAGTGAAAAAAGTTTCTTCACACTATCAAAAGTAATTTTTCTGTTCTTCCAGGGTTAATTGTTATAGTGCAGTGTCTGCTCAGTGTCCTTTTGGAGGTTTTAAGATGTCAGGAAATGGACGAGAAATGTAAGTAAATACTTTAAAAAATGTAGATTCACAGGAACTACAAAACGAAATTCCAAACCCCAACTTTAAATATGCATAACTAGGATGTCCAGTTTGAGATTTTGTCATATTAGGCTAGTATTTAGAGGCTTCAGGTTGTCAGAGGCAATATCAACCAAACAATTCCTCCACAAATAAGAAAATTGTTAAGATACACCCTTTTTCAAAATTACTGGCTTTAGAAGCTTGCAATCCACTGATGAGCAAAACTGACCATTTTGGTTTTGATTTACAGCTATTGTATATGTAGAGAAACTGTCATTTTCATGAAGATATATATGTGTGTATTTTGTGATATCCTCTTCAAATGCTAGGCTTTGGAAAAAAAGAGACTTTTCAAAATCCTAGATTTAAACAAGAGTTGGCAGTTAAAGCCTTGTGATAACAATGTTTTTACAGTACATGCCAGCTTGGTCAAAAGTTATAATGAAAACAGTCCTCTGTAGTCTTTGAACCTTTGGTTTTTTTCCCAAAATAAAAGTGGAGTATTATACAAAAATCATAAACTAATCAAATTTTTTCAGACCTCTAAGTTTTAGTCCAGTTTCCACTTGAATCATGTCCTGTCTTACCTTTATTTGTCCTTTGTTAAAAATGCCACATATATAGGAACAAAAAATTATTTTTAAAGCCATAACTAAAAATCAATACTTGTAAGCTTTCCCTTTTATTAAGACAAATGCATAAAAATTTTAATGAATGATAGAAGTAATTAAAAAATATATGTGTAGGTGAGGTGCTTCAGAGCTTCTTTTTATATATATTTTTTTAAGAGATAAAGACTAGTATTTTCATAGTTGCTCATCACTGGACACAGTCTGCTCCTTATGGCAAAGCTCCCACTAGCTTCAAAGGAAATGGACTCAAGTCAATGCTGAGAGCTTTAGAAAACTGCAAAATGGAAAAATGCAATAATTTAGACCATTATTATCAAATACTGGTTTGCACTTGGTGGGTGCCAAAAAATTGGACATAATCAATTCTGAATCACAGTCTTTAGCAGAAATATTTTTTGAATTCATTTGCTAGAAATAACAGAAAAACCATAAGAGACTATCAAAAATATTTTCTACAACAGTGCATTTGGAAGCAGTTAAGCTTTTGTGCTAATTAAGTTTTTTGGTTCAAAGTCACAATTATCAGACCAATAAAAATATCCCTGCTAAAGGACAAGGATAGAATTATCACCAGATAGATGTCTGTTTGGAAAAAAAATTGTAAATATACAGCAGTCAATTTTAGGAGAGGCAGAAATATGTGTGAAACAGCTGCACTGAAATAATTAGGAACTCAGTGTCAAGCCACTTCCTTGAACCCCAGAATTAAATTCCCTGTATAATTCTTGGAATGATAATACCATTATGAATTAAACTACTGAATGTCACATACTAACAGAATGCCTCTTCAGAAATTAAGGGAATCAGGAAACATATTCCCCTAGTACAAGGGTCCTGACCAGAGACTTCTGTTTTGCCTATATGCCTATCTAGTAACATGGCAGTGAGAACGGCAGAACTTTATACTGTAGCAAATCTATGTTCTGTAAAGCAATCAGTTAAGTCTAGTTTGTCTGTGTCAGATGACAAATATCTAGGCACACAAACAAGCTTCAACTCATCATTGAAAATGTAAAGGTGAATCATGCTAAAACATGTCAAATATTAAAGTTTTTTTCATTGTCTGAGAGTTTTCATCATGGATCAATTATGTCCTCCACTTGCTTGAGATGAAGTGTCTATTCTTTAATGCTGGAGAAAATTCTTGGCTTTAGGAGAAGACCTTTATGACCTTTGCAAATAACTTGTTGAGCATGCTTGTGAAGATCTAATATGTTCTTGATTTGCTGCACAGAAATGCAATTTAGATATACTCTAAGTTAAATGCCATTCTTTTGCACAGATAAAATTACTGTCTCTCCCACTTTTCTCAGGAAACTGTTGCTGTAGCTTTTCAAAAGGTTTTCAGCAGCAGTTTAGCTGCACAGCTGTGTTCCAAATATGTCCAGTGTACTTGTTATATATATATGGCCAATTGCACAGCATCACTGAAAATCTCATCCAGAATAAAACTCATATAAAAAGCATTAGCATAAATATTGCTCTTGGTTCTCTTTTATCTAGGGGAGAATATGGACTCCATGAATACACAGAAGTTAAGACTGTCACAATCAAAATCCCACAAAAGAACTCGTAATGCTTCTTGAGGTGCAGAATCTAACAGCTCCAAATGAATCTGAAAAGACCATCTGAGTTCTTAAATGTTTTATTGTCCAGATGATTCATTAACCTTTTTGCTTTCTGATTATATAAGAGGTACTTGCTTGCATTAACAATATAAGGAATAACATAGAAAAGTTTAATTTGATTAATTGTGATAAGGAATCTTTAATGTCTGGTACATAGCTAACTAATTTGAAAAGTTCATGTCCAGAAAGATCTATTCCTATTTTCAGTTGAAGCTCTCTGTAGTGCTATGAAAATTTGCCTACTTTACAGGTACAGTTTGAATTTTTGTGGTCTTCTAAATGTTAGATGGCAAGCTCTCCTTGCGTTTTCTGTTTTTTGTGGCCATAACAAAAGCACTTATGAGTAGTTAGCAGATAGATACTTTTCTGTATCTTTCTCCAGATGTATTTCTTAGACGATTAAATTTGTTCATGATGCTACACAAATGTAACGTGTATAACATTAAAAAACGTGTATAACAAAAAAAAAATTAAAATTCACCTACAAAACCTACTACTTCTCCTTTCATTAGACTTTTCTACTACACTAGTTTACTAATAAATAATACTAATAAAGAATAGTTTACTATTTGGCACTGTGTAGCACAGAGGCACCACTGGTGTGTTCAGCTCATCAGACTTATATCTGCTATATGGAAACTAAAGTCCCCAGTATTTTGTCAGTATTATAATTGGAAGAATATGAACACACAGAACACTAAGCCAGAAGGGACAACACTTGGCCTGTGTCTGGTATGATCCAATCACTAACCATTCATCTCTTAAAAGCACACTAGGGCTAGTCTGAAGCCAGTCGCCTCTGAATGTGTGCTATGTGGGTGGTTGGTTCTCCTGTCTTCCCGGCATCCTTTGGCAGCACAGGACTGCAAATCCTACCCTACTTATGCTGCCTGCAACTGCAAGCCCAAGCAAAGAATGACTGAAATATAACGCAAAAAAGGGAAAACCCAGCATAATAGAGGAGTATAGGAGAAGGACCAACTCGACCTTTGCATGCATATATACATTCTGTTTAGAATGTCTAAACTATTTTAATACTGTTTTCAGCAACATTGTAAATGTACGGTTCAGTTCCTCTTTGACAGTCTTGACAGGTAAAAGAAAGCTTTCGATGGTCTTGTTTTGTCAATTTTAATGTTTCAGTATGATCAAAATGTAACATCTAGTAGGCACTTTTAAGTTCCCATTTTTTCAAATGCCTTGAGCTTTGGATCAATCTGATGACACACTGAAGTTGTTCACAAGAGATGTCAGTGTAAAGAGATATACCCTTTGGCATCCCTTACAAGCGCACACTAGTTCACAGTACATGACGGTGACCAAACCAGAAAAAAAATCATAATATAGTCCCATTTGTTCCTCAATGCCAGTTTATTGACTCAGAAACGAGGTCAGGAGGGGATTTCTCTCCACAATGTACACACTATTAGTAATAACACAATGTATCTGTGAGCACAAGAATTGTCCTTTCAAAATTAAGTGTCTTTGTAATTATGTTCATAGTATTAAAGTCTCCAACTGATGGTGAAATATCTGCTATATGTCTTTCTTACATCTGCACATGAGTATGGTGACTTGTGATCTGGACAGTAATAAATGAAGACTTAAACTCTGCAAATATTACACAGGTAATTAAAGAGGTCCTTTCTTTCTGGGCTTGAATCACTATCACGTTACCCCAGCTACGTGCCAAAGCAGTACCATTGAAATTTACTGGGATGAAACACAAGAGTATTAGTTGATATTTTTATGAACATTGCTTAAAGTGTTAGCAAAGTTGTAGTTGGTATTTCACCGAGAAAGAATTTTAACAAGAGAAATGAACTTGTTGCATGGCCTTTCAAAGCCCCTGAAAATGGACTAATAGCAGCAGCAGTTACTATGTTTGGATTGAAACAATTATATTTTTTCATGTAGTTCTTGAAGGCAGTGGTTGTCTAGGTAAACAATGTAGAGGAAAATCTCCACAGATTTCAGTGGGACTATTTTTTTTTTAGTGAAAATTCCTTTAACACTATTGAAGGCACACCTTTAATTTTCATGAAAGTAGGACAAAGGACAAGATATTGCAGTCTTATTGGAAAATTGTCTGTTTCAAGGAATTTTATACTATATAGAAAACCAAGTCCTAGAAACTTGGAGTTCTTAAAGTCATTGTCTTGCCTTCCGTGAGGTGATCCCTGCCCTTTCCCTACCCCTGACACAATATTTTTTTTAAAAAAGAGGGAAGCTTTTGAATAGCAACAGAGGGATAGAGAGACCCTTAGGCTATTTCAGTCAAAATAGTGAAGTTGTAAGGAATTCTCATTCTGTCTCAAGAAAGAAAATTACTGATAATCCTTGACTACTAGATATCCAGGTCTTAAGACAGACAAGAGAATATATGGAGAAAATATTCAGAGCAAGAAAGGCATCTGGCTTGGATAAAGAGTGAAAATTCCCTGATGAAGTAGGGCTTTAGGGAGGTATTTGAAAAGATGTGAGAACTTGGCAGCCAAAAGGATTGTGGGGAAGCAGGGTAGGCTATTCCATCTGGGACACAAAAGATAAGTGAAAGAAAAAAAGGGAGAAAGGAAGGGAGCAGTAACAGAAGCAGTAACAGAAGTACGAGGAGTCTGATGAGGAAGGAAAGCAAAGCTAAGGATCACCTTGAGATTCTGATAGATCTCACTGTAAGATCTTATTATAATTTTGTAAGATTTAACATGAAGGACTTTAATAGATGAACTGTGCTTCTCCAGCCCCTTTATCATGCTTGCTATCATATTGTTTTTGAATTCCTGATCCTTCTGCTCTCTGTCTTTTCATTCAAGTCATGCTCCAGTTCTCTTGGTGTTAATATTGTCTTCCAAGTGAGATTTAAATAACTCCTTATTAGGAAAAGTCCACTTTAAACTAAAGTAGCAAAAAAAAGACTCTTTGAAAATTTGGAAATAATAGTTTCCTGTGAACCTAGTAGAAGGTCTTAAGGAATGAATTATAACCCTTATTATGCTGATGGAAAAACAGGGCCTTGATGAATATAGTGCTCTGGAAACAAAAGTAAAAGATCTCGAAGCACTACATAGGCTGATTCAGTCAATAAAATGTTGCATGAAAAATTGGACAGGCATAATGAACTCATAAAAAGAACTGAGTATTGGGTGATTTAACTGCTGAAAATTCACCTTGTGAAACAATCCTCAAAGAGTAGCAACAGAGAGGATACATACACAGTATAATAAATTGTCCATGCAAGAGGAAGACCATAGTTGCTTTTACACATTACTAGGAGGCAATGCAGTGAGATTTGGCAGAAGTATTAACCAAAATACCATGTAGTTGTCCTCAATGGAAGCAGAATAGAAGTATCAACTGTACCAAGAAAAATTATTACAGAGGATCTGTAAGAGGAAGAAAGCTAGAATAGACTGCAGCAATGAGAGGGTTTGTTATATTGTTTTAGTTTATATTCTCATAATGCTTATAGTTCCATGTGGAATATAATATTATGACTAAATAATAACTTGACAATTACAAATTATCAATATGACCAATCCAAGATGTTTCTGGACATAAAGAGTAATATGATAAACCCTGACAAGCATTCAAGTTGTTAAGCAAAGCACTGCATGATCCTGCAGGATCACTGGCCATGATCCTTCCACTGTCAGCACAGAAAAATCCCTTTTTCATGTACCTTATGAGTACCTCTTCATGTACTATCAAGAAGCTTTGGTAATATAGCACGATCCATATAGCACGAATCCTGCTGCTGCGAATGAAACAATGATTGTTGATCATCAAACCTTGACAAATGCTACAAACTGCCAAGGCCCTACCTATGGGTTCCTAGCATGTTGGTAACTCCAGTAATATGGATTCTACATTGATTCTGAACTCCCTATTACATGTAGTGACTATGCTTGGGACCAAGGAGCACACTGTGGTGACAGCAAGAATGAGACTTGCAAAATTAGAGCAACATTGGAGGTGTATTGCCCTTGGAAGAGAAAAATGTCTGACAGGCAAATAAGTGAATCAAGCAACACTGCCCACAATTACCTATATTCAGGAACTGAGAAAGACTTTGTAGGAGTGTGATGAAAGAAAAGTGTCATGTGAACATTGTATTTGGAGTTTAAATAAGTCCCATGCATAGACACATGAACACCCACTTACTATGGACACATCATATATTTCTAAGCACTGTGTCTGTTAGAGAGCTGACTCTTACATAAAGAATCTTTGACCCTTATTATCCACTGTATTGATAGCAATCTTTAAAAAGCATAAGCCTCTGTGAGGGAGCAACAACAGCTGATAGAGCAGTAAGGAGGTAGAGGAGAGGAGCATTCCCAGGTCACATGCACCAGTTCCATGTCAGAAAAAAACCCCAAAACATAGCTTTGTTAGTATCTCCTTATGACATCTAATCTACAATAGGAAAAGCATTAAGGTTTGTACTGCTTCAGCCTTCTTTTCTTGATGTAGCTACTCTTCTGTGCTCCATTGCTATCTCTCTGTTAACACTTAAGGAGATGTTCAATATGAAGTTAGTTGTCCATGCTGAATGTTATAATAATAATAATAATAATAATAATAATAATAAATAATAATAATAATAATAATAATAATAATAATAATAATAATAATAATAATTTCAATATAATTGAATATAATTGAATATAATTCAAATATAATAATTGAGAAATACAGTTGTGGAGCTATTTACATGTAAATTAGCCATGGTATTAAAGAAACAGTCCCCTCTATACAGCTAAAGATACCTTGCAGTCTGATAAACATTTTGTTTCATACCTTGTGTTTTGCTGATTTGATGACAGAAAGGTTATGTTTCATTATGTTTCTCTCTAGACCTCAGCAAACAAACTGGAGCCGACAATTGAACTCGATGATCTTAGAGGTCTTTTCCAACATTAATGATTTTATGAAGGCTTTAAAAAAAAAAAACAAAACACCAAAAGGGTGCCATTAACTCTAAGGAGTGGTCCAGCTCCATAAGAAAGCGTTCTAGGAGCCTAAACATTACACTCAGCAAAGCAAGATGTTTGTTTCAATCACAATAAGTTTCCTCAGCCTGCACTGTGTCACTGTACTCCTCTTCAGAGAGGTCCACATTATCTTTAACAAAATTATCTTCAACAAAAAGAAAAATGTCCCCATTACACTATTCACTGATACAAGACAGAATCTCAGGAATCATCTACACTGTTTCCTTTTCTGTACGTGGTGTAGTAGCCACCGCTAAGAGAGCCCTTGTAAAACCTTCAAAATTTTATCTTTAATTTTTCCACTGCCTCTTTGAATACACAAGATTTGTAGCTAACCTCCACCGGCTTATTTACTGCTAGAAATTGGCCTACTTAAATATGTGATTTTATGACAGTGGAAGACACTTTTTGAACTTTACTTATGAAAATGAATAATTTTTTATGAGGTGTGTTTTTTACTAGGTTACTACCCATTTATTTCTTTTTTTTTTTCAGTAAATACTTTGCTGACAGAAAAACCTACCTTTAAGTACTAATCCTGTGCAACTGACACACAAATATGAGCTCCTACGTAAGTCATTCTATTATAGAGTGAATTTACGAGGACATAACATGGCAAAATTTTAATTCATAAAGGGAGATCATGAAAATTAAACACTTTGACAGACTAGACATATAGGTAGAAAGAGTCCTATGCTGCCTTCTCACCAAACATGCCTGTCTGAGTCAAGATTACAGTGGTTTCATTGCCTCCTCCTGTGCCTACCTCCCTAGCACACAAGCAGCTGCCTGCGAGAAGAGTGGGTGAGGCAGCTTGATGCAGATTTTTATGTGGTATTATGGTACTATTGCAGCCGGAAAACATGAAAAGTAGAGACACACAATTCATTAGGAGTTCCTGCATGTCATACGAAGAGCTGGAGAAGGTAGTTCTGTATCAAAATGACTAATTTCTAACAGTCTGAAACTTTTCATAACCACCAACCAGCAGAGTCTGATTTAATTTTTCACTGTTAAATCTTGCATACAGAATTGTCCAGGCTTTGTCAACAACAAAGACCAGCCTGAACACTCTATAGCCTGAACAAAAATTTCAGTCTCATCTACTAAGAGATTTTTTAAACAAAATGTTTTTAGGAGTGTCAGCTGTCACTAGCATTAATTTTGACAGCTCTAGTTATGCCTGTGATTCACGTAAACATCTCCTAGGAGCACTGATATGCTCTGAATAGAAGAATCAGCGGTCTGATGCTTTACTGCCTCAGGGCTGCTTGTGTGTTGTTACTGCTTTAACTTCCAAAACCATGTTTTTATTTCAAAGATGCACTTTAATACTTAAACAAACCAAATGCACAATTTCAATTTTTCTCTTGAATGGTACATGAAATAAATTATTTTGAAGGTGAGACTTCTAACAATGGTATTCAACCAGGGAAATGTAAAACAAATGTAGAGACAGAATAAAGACCACATCAGTTTAGAGAATCCAGAAAGAAGTTAAATATTTAAAACTAAAATTCTTACTGTGTAAATAAAATATTACATGATTAAACAAA